GATCTAACAAGACTAGAACAGACAAGATTCTTATCTGAGGCCATGAGAATATAATTTGTAACTCTCACTAATGCAGTTTCAGTGCTGTGATACTCTCTAAAACCAGACTGAAATTCCTCAAACAGAGCATTAGTGTTTAAATGCTCACATACTTGGATGGCCACTATTTTCTCCAGGACTTTGGACAAAAATGGAAGGTTAGATATTGGTCTATAATTCATTGGGTCATCTGGATCCAGAGAAGGCTTCTTAAGTGAAGGTTTGATTACAGCAACCTTAAAATCCTGTGGTACATACCCATTTACTAAGGATAGATTGATTATATTTAGAATGGGGGCAGTAACCAAAGGAAATGCATCTTTAAATAATTTGGTTGGGATTGGATCCAAAATGGAAGTTGAAGGTTTAGATGAAGCTAATATTTTTGATAACTCTGAAAGCTCAACTGGATCAAAACGGTTCAAGCACAGATGAGGTTCTACAGTCACCTCTGATGCTGCCTCACTTACCGAGGAAGAAGAAATCGCATTAGGGAGGATGCTAAAGATTTTGTTTCTAATAGAATTAATTTTACTTGTAAAAAATCCCATGAAGTCATTGCTGCTGAGGGCTAAGGGAATAGATGGCTCAGAGCTATGATTCTGTGTACGTTTAGCAACTGTACTGAGAAGAAATTTAGGATTATGCTTATTCTCCTCAATTAGTGCTGAAAAATATGCAGTTCTAGTTTGTCGAAGCTTATTTTTATAAAGCACAAGACTATTTTTCCAGGGTAGGTAGGCCTCCTCATGGTGCGTAAAGCGCCATGCTCTCTCCAATTTCCTAGAGTTTTGTTTTAAGGCACGTAAATGAGAATTAAACCAGGGAGCCAACTTCCTGTCCCTAATTACCTTCTTTTTTAAAGGGGCAACATCATCCAATGCCACACGTAAAGAGGAATTCACATGATGAACTAAGGCATCAATTTGTGAGGGGCTAGAACTGAAAATATTGCCCTCTGGTACGTTCCTCTGAGATGCTGAGGACAGTAAAGATGGAACAGTTGATTTAAAAGACGCAACTGCGTTGTCAGATAGAGACCAACTATAGTGAAATTTACTTTCATGTCTCGAGAACTCAGTTATAAAAAACTCAAAGGTTATCAGAAAGTGGTCCGAGAGGACTGGATTAAGTGGAAAGATTGTTATTTCCTCACACTCAATGCCATAAGTCAGCACAAGGTCCAATGTATGATGGCAGGAGTGGGTGGAGCTATGTATTCTTTGAGTAAAACCAATTGAGTCTAAGATATTACTAAAGGCTACATTGAGGCAATCATTTTCAATGTCCACATGAATATTAAAATCCCCCACTACAATGACCTTATCAGTATTTAGCACCAAATCAGATAAAAAAATCAGAGATCTGATCCAAAAACTCAGAGTAAGGGCCTGGTGGACGATATAAAACTACAAACAAGAGTGGTTTTACAGTTTTGCAATCTGGATTAGGAAAACTAAGAATAAGATGTTCAAACGAACTGTAACTATTAATCTGTAAGGGACTGATTAATAAGTCCGAATGAAAAATGGCTGCCACTCCTCCTCCTCGCCCTGTACTTCGAGCAATATGATGATTTAAATAATTTGAAGGAGTCGACTCGTTTAAGCTAACATAGCCCTCTTGCTGCAGCCAGGATTCTGTGAGAGAGAGCAAAGAGATCTGATTATCACAAATCAAGTCATTAACTAACAAAGTCTTAGAAAAAATGGATCTAATGTTCAACAACCCACATTTAATTTTTCTAGTTTTCTGCTCAGTTGAATTTGTTCTAATATTTATGAGATTTCCATGATTTGCTTTATTAAGCCTGATATTTAATCTGTGTGATTTTGGCCGTGGGAAGGACACTGTCTCTATGGGGTAGTGGGTGGGTAACAGTACAGAAGCTGCAGAGGGGTGGGTTAAACTACGACTCTGCTTCCTGGTCTGGACCCTGGGTTGTCATGGAGGACTAATAAAACTGGCCATGTTCCTAGAAAGAAGAGCTGCTCCATCCAAAGAGGGATGGAAGCCGTCTCTCCGCATCAGACCAGGTTTTCCCCAAAAAGTTTTCCAATTATCAATGTAGCCCACGTTGTTTTCAGGACACCACCTAGACAGCCAGAGGTTGAAGGACAGCATGCGGCTAAACATGTCATCACTGGTCCGATTGGGTAGGGGGCCAGAGAAAATTACGGAGTCCAACATTGTTTTGGCAAACTTACACACCGAAGCAACATTAATTTTAGTGACCTCCAATTGGCGTAACCGGGTGTCGTTCCCGCCAGCGTGAATAACAATCTTACTGTATTTACGCTTGTCCTTAGCCAGCAGTTTCAGATAAGATTGAATGTCGCCCGCTCTGGCCCCAGGTAAACATTTAACTATGGTTGCTGGAGTCTCTAATGCCACGTTTCTGACTATGGAGCTGCCAATGATCAGTCGGCTTGTCAGTGGGCGCGTCACTGAGCGGGGAAAATCTATTAGAAACGTGGACGGGTTGGTGGTGGCCCACGGGCTGGGTTCTATGCTTCCTGCGTACCGTCACCCAGCCGGTCTGAGGTCCCGGCTGCTCGGTTTCTACTGGAGGACTGCTACAGGGTGTTTTTGAGCTAGTTAGCCCCGTGCTAGCTAAGTAGCTACGGCTGTTTACGGGTTTTTCAACAGCGCGGAGCCGGGACTCCAATTCCGACACCCTCGCCTCCAAAGCTACAAAAATGCTACATTTATTACACGTACCATTATCACTAAAGGAGGCAGAGGAGTAACTAAACATCTGACACAGAGAGCAAGAGATAGGAGACGGAGAAGCAGAGACAGAAGTAGCCATAGCCGTGCTGAGGCTAAGCTAACTGGACGAGCAAACTGTTCAACACCAAATAAACTGCGTGCGAACTCAAATGGTTCCCTAAAAGATAGGTGGAACAACAGAAAATGTGTGTTTTAGCGTGCTTATGTGCTACGATAACTCAGAGATATCCTGTTACAGAGAAATTAAATTGGTTTTAGCGAGCCCCAAACACCAGCACGATTAGACACACATTTATATAGTTTTTCAGGAAAAAAAGTTGATTTGGGGGTGACTTGCTCTTTGAATTCAAAAAGCAATTTTTTTTCCTCATTTCATTTAGTAAGTAGCGCCTACCATCAGTCAGTTCGTTTACATGCACATCAGAAAACCAAAGTATTTCCCTAAAAAGACAGTTTTTTAATTGCAGGTAAACGTGTTAGTCCGGCTGAAGGTGAACTGGTTCTAATCGAGCTGAAGCACCCAGATAATGTGGTAGCAATCCGATTACATTCTGCATGTAAACAGGATCGGACGCTTGTGTTGTGGAAGTAAGACCGTGGAAGCAGTCTTCTGACAATATCATCACCACTCAGTAACACATCCAACACCATAAAACAGGACAGTATGTACCAAATCATCTGTGCTGCAGCGTTGTTGTTGCCCATTCCTTCAGCGATTGTGCATATCCTGTTTCAGTAGCATCTGCTTCTCGCCCACCAGCCTCTGTTTACTATTTGTGTTGCTGTACGCTAACTGGAAGAATGCAGATATGAAAGGATGCATGTCGCCACCTACTGTACTGGAGTGGAACAAACGTTGTTTGAGAGGCTGTTTTTGTTATGTGCATGTAAACTAGGATAAAGACTCCCAGCTTATTACCACAAGATGGACCTGGATCAGATTAGATGATGGTCATTGTGCATGTAACCACACTGATGATGTTTGAAGAAGTCATTCACTGAGAAACCATGTTTTTATTGTTATTTCTGATTATAGTCAAGTTTTCCATTCATGCTGAACATGAAAATAGTCCCCTACGTCTATCTCCTGCATTAGCTAGGTAGATGGTGAAACTCTAGGATTTGAAAATCCTGACAGATCTACGTCACTCTGTCACTTAACATTCATGGACTCACCCATCTTGACTCACGACGGGGAAGGTTGAGCGTCCAGGAAACAGCAGAGAACGTCTCTGCTAGTAGAAATGAACCGTTAGCGTTAGCAGCAGAACTCCCCCAGGCGTGAGGTATTTGTGAAGGTAAAACATCAACGTTGCAGAACAGAGTCAGTGGCAGAGCTGTGTTGCTTTAGCCAGTTAGAGGCAGGATGTCCAACTAAGACTCCGTATCCTGCTGTCGGAAGCTGCTTTTGCCTCTGGCTTAGATCTCCATTCTGAAACAGAAAGACCGGAGCATGTTTTCCACAGATTACAATGTACAAGGCGTTCCTTCCTACTAAAGACCACTGCAAACGTTTTAAAAATATGACTGACGGACCTGTACAAAATATCTGGACCACTGATTGGTTTAAAAACCACCTCTGACAACTTCAAGCATCTCGTGGAAAATATCCTTTCTGATCCACCTAACAGTTCCATCCGGACTACCAACTTGTATCAAATATCAGGAAATAAGACTCTAAAATCTGTTGTCTGAAGCCACTTTCTCCTCCAGCTGAATTCTCCATCCCCAAACAGGTGCACCGGAGCTTTTCTCCCCCTGAGTACAACTTGCAAGGCATTCTTTTCTACAATGGGCCTTTTCCAAGGGCACTACTCAGCATGGGTTAACTCAGCTCACCTCAGTGTAGTTGGTTTTCCCTGCCAGCTCTGTGAGTAGGTGTGCCCCTCGTAGGGGCAGGGGAGGAAGGCGAGGATCTTTACTTGAGACAAAACTAACATGAGGTGATGAGCTAGTCACGATTCTGGCCCGACTCAGGGCACTTGAGACCTCAAGGAAGCAGGGCCTAAAACATTGGGGGAAAGTAGAAGGAAAATACCAAACTGTGGTGCTGGAAAAGGTGGCTGGACCGAGCTGCACTAATCCAAGTAACTCTGAGTAGTACGCTTGGGAAAGGCCTGCTAGAGACCACAGCAAATGTTTTAGAGATATGAGTAAAGTTGACCTTTAAGGCTCGAGATCCAAGTCAAATTTGAGTTTCAGTGACTGCGGCTGATAAATTTGCCTAAAAGTTACCGGATACACTCAAAAGTGCAGTGACATTGTTTTCAGGTTCTCATTCATCATGTGGGTCCATCAAAGTGGTTCCTGACCAAGTGCAGCACTTCGACAAAGAGTCCGTGTCCCTGCACTGTGAGGGAACCTCCTCTGAGTGGACAGTGATGAGGCTGACTGCAGCAGATCGCCTGGCAAGCTGTTCCAAATGGGGGTCAATGACTGGATCCACCTGTCTGATCACAAAGCCCTCCAACAATACAGCGATGTACTGGTGTGAGTCTGCATCTGGTTTCACTAATCCAGTAAACATCACTGTGACAAGTAGGTGTTCAATGGTACACTTCTTTTTTTCTGACACTGTTTTAGTGCCATGTCATCTGTGAATGGAGTAAAAGCTCAACTTCTATAGTTGGTCTCTTCAGTAGGTTTGGTGTCGGTTGGGTTAGAGCATTTTCACACCTTTTATTAGTTAGTTGTGGAACAACACAGCCACAGTTAGAGCTGTTGAAGGAGGTGGTCTCTGTACCGTTCTCAATGTGTCCCTCTCTCTAAGGTGTTTATTCCCAACGACACAGCCACCTAGTGCATGCTGTAAGTTTGAGCCCAACACTCTGCTGTGGCCAGGGTTACGTTGTATTCCGGGATGTAGGAGAGAGCTGGTCAAAAAAAATCAGAGAAGAATAGCTTGTATGAGTTTCCAGTAACAAATGAGTCGTAAAAGTAAGAGTTTGAATTATCGGCTCAGAGGCAGAGTTAGGCTGTGTTAGAAACTAGCGCTGATTGCGTCCAAATCAGGGCTGCATCCTTCTGAATACGCGTTTCAAGGACGATTATGCTGACAAAGCAACAAGGCAAAGTACAAATTCAAAGGATAATTAAAAGGCCTCCTCATAGGAGACAAGGCCAGGTGGGTGTGTCCTCACTGGCAAAGCCTATCCTGGGATTTATTTAAATCCGAATGGAAGTTGTAATAGAGGTGGACGAAGATTTATATGTTAGTATATCAATGTCTGAGTATATCAAGGTCTTGATTCGGAAAAGGGTAGAATGCCTTCTCCGGGTCAGGGATGAGGTCCGGCCCCAAGTGGAGGAGTTTAAGTATCTCGGGGTCTTGTTCACGAGTGAGGGAACGTTGGAGCGTGAGATCGATAGGTGGATGGTGCTGCATCTGCAGTGATGCGGGCGTTGTACCGGTCTGTCGTGGTGAAGAGGGAGCTGAGTCAGAAGGCGAAGCTCTCGATTTACTGGTCGATCTACGTTCCTACCCTCACCTATGGTCACGAGCTTTGGGTAGCGACCGAAAGAACGAGATCACGGATACAAGCGGCCAAAATGAGTTTTCTCCGAAGAGTGGCTGGACTCTCCCTTACAGATAGGGTGAGAAGCTCGGTCATTCGGGAGGGGCTCGGAGTAGACCCGCTGCTCCTCCACATCGAGAGGAGCCAGTTGAGGTGGCTCGGGCATCTGGTCAGGATGCCTCCTGGACGCCTCCCTGGTGAGGTTTTCCGGGCACGTCCAACCGGGACGGTGCCTAAAGGTAGACCCAGGACACGGTGGAGGGACTATGTCTCTCACCTGGCCAGGGAACGCCTTGGGATTCCCCCGGAGGAGCTGGCCCAAGTGGCTGGGGAGAGGGAAGTCTGGGCCTCTCGCCTTAGGCTACTGCCCCCACGACCCGACTCCGGATAAGCGGATGGATAGATGGATGGATGGATGGATATATCAATGTCTGGAAGAACACAATTTGTAGGAAGAGCATCATGGTGTTAAGAACAGTCTGATAAAAAGTCTGAAATCCATGACTAAACCCTTTTTCTTGTCTCAATTTTTTACAGGAAAAAAAATTATTCTTGTTAGCCCAGCTCACCCAGTGACTGAAGGACAAGCTGTTACTCTTGGATGCAAAATGAAGAACAGAACTTCTGATTCCACCGTGATTTTTTATCAAAATAACAAAGTCATCCAAAATGACACCAGAGTGCAGCTGCATATTGGTGCAGTGTCCTTCTCAGATGAGGGGTTCTACAAGTGTGAACACTCAGGGAAAGAGTCACCAAAGAGCTGGATGTCAGTCAAACGTAAGTGTTTATATCAACAACATCCAACACATTGTTACTGATGCGTTTATTTTGCCAAACAAGTAATCCTTCATCTATCCATTTACTTCTGCTTACCTGAGGTCAGATCTCATGACCATATTTGTGATCATAAGTGAGGATTGGAATAGAGACGAACAAAGAAAACTGGTGATGGTGGTGTGACCATTCTGGTGCAGAACATCTCCATTGCCACTAATTTCATCCTTGCTCAGTTAACTTCAGAGCTACTAGACCTATTACTGGTCAAAAAGTCATCTCCAGAGCTTTGCGTCATGCTCACACTCCGCATATGAACTGCATAAATGTGTCGGTTGCGACTGAAAATGGCTCTTAGAGCCGGCTCTTTGGACACGTCAATTGGTGTTTAGGAATTAGGAAAAATTACCTTAAAAAGTCTTTAAAAAGTATTGATTTTTGACAACTGGGTCCAGAGGCGGAGCTGGCCTAAATTGCGCCCTGTGCGAGATCCCCCGTGACCCCCCCCCCACACACACACACAAGAAAAAAAATTACACCTACAACTTTGTTTCAAATTGCGTGGAGTGTATTATATATAACGACGTTTGCTAACTGAATACAACATCCAGCTCCTGGCCACCTTCTCACCACTTGTCAAAGTTCTACTGAAATAGTGATGATGACAACACCTGCCATCGCCTTCATTCCTGGGAAATATAAAAGTAGTTGGCACCTTAGTAGTTCCTCCTCGAACTAGCTCTGTGCGTATGCTGTCGGTAGTTGGTGATGACCACTTGGCTGGGTCTGAAGAAAGAGGCTCATCATCACCTTCAATGGGACCCATTGTTTGATCGTTCAGGCTTCTCTATTGACAGAAAACAGAAGCGTAACTCAATACATTGCTATGTGGACCATTTCACATATTCTATTAAAATACAATATGTGACATTCAAATTTCTCTAATGTTTGCAGGACACACACACACACACACACACACACACACACACACACACACACACACACACACACACACACACACACACACACACACACACACACTTGTGCAAAACTTACCTGACATATCTTGTTGGGGAGACGTGGCAGCTGGCTGTCCCTCATCAAGTTCACATATACTGGTAGGTCTCTCTATTGACAGAAAATGGAAGCATAACTCACCACATTGCTATATGGAACAATTCCCATATTCTGTGAAAATACTATTTAAATGTCTATAGCTAAATGTTTGCTGGACACACACACGTGTGCAAAACCCACCTAAAGTGTCTTCCTGGGGAGATGTGCCAGCAGACTGTCCCTCCTCGAGTTCAAATACTGGCCTACTGGTATGAGCAGTGGAGGTAGATGGCTGGTCCTCAGTGGCAGCTGATGTCATCCCGAAATATCTGCGTAGGGCTCCTGATGTTGCATAAAACAAACAATAAAATCTTCATGTCACGTCTGTTGCTTTAGCATTTTAATTAACATGTTACAATGAGCATTTACAGTTTTCAGCAGTGGTGGAAAGAATTCTGAAAATCTGTACTCGAGTACAAGTACTGTTACATTGCTAAAATATTACTCATTTACAAGTAAAAGTACTGGTGTTAGAGAAATACTCAAGTAAAAGTACAAATTATTCATAAAAACCTCAGAGTATTATTTATTTTTAACGGCTGATGTCACCATCACTTCTCCAGACTGGGGCTGCCTGGAAATTGTGTTTTCCTTTACCAAAAGTTAAAATACCAACAATCTATTAATCATTAATAATTGATAAAATACAAAACAAGTGTTTTTCCCTAATTTTTTTGTCATTTTAAGTTTTTATTTCCTTATTCAGCAAATGTCTCCGGCACACAAAGAACTAAATGACCAGAGGAGCCACAACTATTGATTAAATATCCATGAATCCATTTTAACTGGTTAAATTCTTCAACTCTCCCACGCTGCTTCAAGGTCACTCTGAGTTAACATAGCCGCGGTGTGCAGCACACAACACAACACGATGACATCATCGACTTGTACAGTGCTGAAAGGCGAGACAGTCTCAACTTTCAGCTAAAAAAAGACCGCTCTAGCTACTATAGTTTTTATGTTATGGCAGTTTACAGTATACACGGGATCTTACTAGCAGGGCACCTCCAGCGGCCCGCTGCTGCTCCGTTTTCCGTGGGGTAAATAATACGTAGCTCATTTCCCGACGAGTCCAAAAAGAAAGGCAAATGGCGCCGGCGCGAGACCTGCCGCCCGCTGTCAATGTATTTCAGCAAAATTCTCAAAGACTCATTTTAATTTGATAGCGTTTGGTTATCAGCCTTTCGGTTTTCCCACTCTTAGCTTTTCATAAAAGCTCATTTGACAAAGAAAAAGCTAGCGGTTGGAAGTAGTTCTAAATACATGCAACGTAAGAAGCTAGCAAAAGACATTTGAAGGGATCATCATAGCACCATGCAAAACGTTCAGATTAGAGAGGTTAGTTAATAAGTTGGGGGACAGGCGGGAAAAATACCAACTAAATAATAAAGAGATGCATACCTGCATCTTTTCCTCGTTTCTCCTCCTCTTCTTTTCTTTTTTTCCGAAATTGGGCACCAGATGGCTTCGACCGCTTCTTCTCCATTATGTTAGTGAGCGGTGATATGTGAAACGGTATCTGTATCCCTCCATCATCACTCTCCGAGATCCCTCCGCCCCCCACCTGATGAAGGGCGCTATAGAGCGCACTACAGAGGCGCGGCGGACACAAGGGGGCGCAATAAAATCACAATATAAACGCAAACAATGACTTTGTTGCGCTTTTATAACAGAAATATTATTATTATCATCACTCATCACTATTATTATTATGAAGAACATGTGATTTCTATGTTTTGCTGATGTATCGGTTGATGGAAGAAAAAAAAAAAAAAATTAAATGCCGCCTCCTCCAGACTGCCGCCCTGTTCGGCCGCACATGTTGCACATATCAAGCTCCACCACTGACTGGGTCTTAAAGTCACAGTGTGTATTTTTCCCGGCAATAGGGGGCAGTACATACCTAAATCGTCGCAAGCAAGCAGTATTTTTGTGTTGGAGTAAGACCTTACAGACGGATGCCCATTAGGGTCAAAAAGCCCTGGGGAGTGCAAACTTTAGCAAAATAACAAGCGCATCAGAATCCCTTTTATCACTGACAGCAAGTGAAGAGATAAAAATGTAAAACAACGACATTTAAGAATGATGAAAGTTTTGTAACGATTTGTTACAAATTAGTAAATGTATTTTGTCCTCATGGGCTCCCGTAGAGGAAAACATGGCATCTAATATGGCGTCGCCCAGAGACTTACACCCACTCCCATGTATTTTAGACTTGATTTTTGTGGTTATATGTTACAAAGCCGCCAACATTTTTCAGCAACCGGGCATCATTTCATTCATTTTCAACAATATTTTAATGGATATTTCCAGAAATGAATGGTAAAAACCAGCGGTGGAAAGTAACAAATTACATTTACTCACGTTACTGTAATTGAGTAGCTTTTTTGTGTATTCATACTTTTGAAGTAGTTTTGAAAATCTGTACGTTAACGTTTACTTGAGTACGTTTCTAAAAAGAATTGTAATTCTGTAATTTTAAATCATATCCATTACTGAGTAAAAATAAATTGTAGACTTACTAAATTAAAAATATTGCGTGTTGCAGCGTCGGAACAGAAAGAGACACCTGCATGAGCGCCGAGTCTACACCGGGGTGGGGGGGTACACTTGATAATGAGGACAATCAACGATTTTTACTGCAGTTTTGCTCCAAAACATCAGTTACGTCCCTGTGATCCACTCGTTGTTTACCTCCTCTCTCCCTCCTCTCCTGTGGGTTGGATCCCGCACCTTCGCGCACCGGTGTGACGTCATCAGAATTCCGCTCGGTTCGGTAGCCGGATTCAGTTCCGTGTTTGAAATGTGTTTTCCTACCGCTCCGCACGGACGCGGCAAAATAACGTTCAGCGCTCATAACAAGCGGATTATCAGCGCTCTGCTCATAAAACAGAAGACCTGCAGGCCTCTGTGAGTTAAAGGATCCTGATACTGTTCAGGTGTAAACATTGTGCTCCATCCCTGTGTTTGAACTCACAAAATGCTTCTTGATGCCACAGATATGTGATGATTTAGCTTGTTACTTTATTTTACTCCAGAATAAGATATTAAATTATTACAAAAGCAGTTCACTGTAGTTAAATTAGTCATTCAAAAGATTCTAACATGCTGCAGTGTGTGTGTGTGTGTGTGTGTGTGTGTGTACGTGTATGCACGCACGAGCGAATCGCGAACCGGCGTTGTGATTTTGCACTACTTAGATGTTGCCATCCTTACGCTGACAGAAATGTAACCAAGTAACTTTTACTTTGATTACATTTTATTTACGATACTTTTTACTTGAGTAAAATGTTTGGCAAGTACTTTTACTTGTACTTGAGTAAAAATTTAGGCAAGTACTTTTACTTGTACTTGAGTAAAAATTTAGGCAAGTACTTTTACTTGTCCTTAAGTAGGAAATTTTCGTACTCTTTCCACCTCTGGTAAAAATTACACATTGTCTCTTTAAAACTTGTGCCGTGTGTAAAACCTCCGTACTGTATTTGTCCTCTTAAGTTTTGTTTGTCAAACACAATCTTTTTTATTAAATAACGTAGCATAAATAAAGAGTGGTGGAACCAATAACTGAGAACGCAGCCTTGGGACAAAATACTCTGGCTACAGCGCTACAGCAGCGATACAAAACTGTGAACATTACACAGACCACACAGACCTCCAGCAGAGGAGAAATGCAGAGCATCTTAGCAGACCATGAGAAAGGTCGACTGACGCGTAGGGCTGGGTGCCAGAACGCTGGACCTCTTTGGGACTGAGTGGAAACAGTCAGTAGGTACTGATATCAGAAAAAAAAGTATTAAAGTGTCCAAAAGTGCTACCGCGGGTCACATGACTGATCCCAAGTCACATTATGACAAAACAACACTTCTCTGCAGTTAGCAGATGAAAATGCTACAAAATCATAGGTTTGGGTGAGTTTTGCTAAAGTAAGCAGCAGCTAAGTGAAACACCAGCGAGAAGAGTGGTGCCGTGGAAATC